GTATTCTCGCCAAATCCTTTGGCTGGCCCGAACTGGAAGACCTTGCGATGAGTATGGAGTAAGTTTCACCAATGGGCTGGGGTTGAGGAGATGAATGTACGTGTCCTCTAGGGAGAAAGGCCACGATGGCATACAAAGAACGCTGTCTAAGCCTCATTGCGAGTGACTTATAGTATACAACACGACTATAAGCAGAACTCACGACCGCCTCTGCCGGTCTAGAGCGGATAAATCCTCCGTAATCGAAAGTCTACGAGAACCATACCAGTTCCAGCTTGGCTCGCATAGTCAGCCCTTCTCCTCTATTCTGGAGCCTGTTCATAACGGCGTGACTATCTACAATGTTCCCATGTTCCGTCCCCAGCCTCTGAATCCAGGTAGTAACCAGCCTTGTCGGCGACAGCGAACAGCTTGCATCTCCAAGTTGTCACCGAGACCCATTGTCAGCCTCGGTATACCGCATCCACTATACTGAGATCTGCAACTGCGGCGATGAATTCTGCAGTCGCATGCCAAACTAGCCTCAATATTAGACAGGAGTGGAGATCACTTTCCCTATCCAAGATGGTAATCAAGTAGTAAGTGCTAAGGGGGTCAACCAGTTGTTTCAGTCGCACCGGCTTGTAAATCGAACCGAGCCATGAGTTGTATATCATCTGTAGCCAGCCAAACTACTCATAATAAAACAAACATAAGCAAATATCTAGTCAATGATGAAAGTAATCTGGGGCTTACCGAGAAAAAAAGCTCCGTTGCTGGGGTAGCCGTGCCGGTGGACGCGTTAAGTGGTTTTCGCCCGCGAATCGATCTTGACCGCATCGGTCCAACTTGGATCATGCACAATGCTGCTGATGATGCCTGACATTTGACATCTGCCTGCTTCAGAAGATATGAGGATCTATCCGCCACATTCCTCTTTGCTCAAGCTCAGATGCAGTCAGCCCCCGACTGCTGCACCCCTGGAATCCTCACCCTCCTCTTCCCCGATCCATCACCGCTATCTCCCCGATGCCACTCCGTCAACCCGCTTCCCCGCTCTCCTTGGAAACAATCTCGCCTTCCCCGCCAGACCTCGACTCCGATCTTCTTATCGCTTCCGACGATGATCTAGATGAAGGCGACCGGGCTGCTCGGGATAAGCGCATAGAGAAGCTGGCCCAGGCCTATTGCCATGGCACCCCACTTTTCATTATGTCCGCTTCACTTCGCGGACCCTTCGACAACGGATGGACCAACCCCTGGAGGAAAGACAGGCAAAAGACCGGTGGCCATATACGGACAGGAGGGAAGCATTTGGAACATCCGGAAAGACCTATTATCCCAGAGACAGTGCCGCAGAAACGGCCCCTATACCGCGAATCGCTAGGCATATCTCGCTCGAAGTCTGCTCTTCCTCTTTCCGACCCATCATATTCCACGAAGAAGAGAGAGTCTCAAGGTGGCACTACGGGGGAACCGTCGTCCAAACGGCCACGAGATAGCCGTGGTCGGACATCAAGCTCGAACAATACACCAAAGCCAGTCGCACTGCACAAGAGGACAATTGAGACAAGTGGACACTCGGATGCGCTGACCCCATTCCAGCATACAGAGCAAAGCTGGCTGAAGAGAGACCGTGCGGAAATCAACTTCCGGAAAGTCGATCCACCCACTTCTCCTACAACTACGATATCGTCTCGATATCGGGAAGGAGGGCATTACACAATACAAGTCCCGGGCACAGATTATCGAGTCACAACGAAGAATCTGATAAGAGCAAGTACAGGCTCTCGAGACGAGACTACCTTTGACAGTCGTGTGCCGGACAGTGTCAAAGCTCAACTCACCAACAGACATCCTGGAGTCCGACTAGAGACGGAGGATCTTGAGAACTCCATTTGTGTACTTTCGTCGACTTCCCACCTATCGAAGTTTGAATTTCGTCGTAGGAAACGCTCCGCTGATCCGGAACATGGCACCACCTTTCCAGTCCCGGTGCACGCGGATAATGAACATATTTCTCACCAGAAGACTGTTGTCGAAGACAGCCGGGTCTCAAGTCAACCCTTACCAATACCTCCAAACACAACTTCAATGCAGGCCGTTGAAGCCGATGTGCATATGACCGAAGACAATCCGCACAATCCAAACGTATCCGACCGTTCTGGTACTGTTGATCACCCGGGAGGCTCTCAGCCACGGAAAGTATCATCAACCACCACCGCTGAAGGTGTCAATATCAGCGATAAATACCCCTCTGCCCAGCGAGTGCCGGTAAATCCAGCTCTGGCTGAAAATGTCACCTCACTGCAAACGATCTCGGCGGCGAAGCCCAATTCAGAATGCGACAACGACACTATTCCGGACCCACAATTCAACACACAAGCAGCGCTATTGCACGCGCAGAAATCCTTCCAAAATGATCTGGAGAGTCAAGTTCCCAACCCAGGAGAAACTCACAACCAACCTTCATCACCCGCCAACGACATTACTCCCTTCCATCGAATGAACACCAGCAGAGTTGGCAAGTACTCCCGAGTCAGACCTCCAGGAACTGCACATGTGCCGATGAGCACTCAATGCATCATCGACACCGTCACGCCCTTCACTTTTAGCACGGAAAAGAAAGCCAGGTCTCGATTCATTTCTCCCCAGATGCCATCGTCGAGTAGGATAGATCGTGGAACTGCCACCCCCAACACAGGCTCACCATTGTCCTCGGAACCGGAAGACGAGGACGAGGATGAAGACGAAGACGAAGACCCAACCATCCTCCCACTCAAATCCCCTGCCGCCCAACAACAAACCCCAGACAACACCCAACAAGGCAGCGCATTGCCAATGGCTTTGTCAAACTCCCATCCTACCACCGTCCAAGACGGCCAAGGTGTTGCCTATGGCCCAGACAGCTTTAACCTAAGCCAGGCGATTGCGGACGCGGGGAGCTGGTTACAGCAGAGCTTTGATATCAATAATGAAATCCAACAATGCAAGAGCAGCGCCAAGTCGAGACCATCGTCTTCGACGGGGATAAGTCGCTCCGCGGTAACGCTGGATAGGTGAAGGACGGGGTTTATTACATGCATAGCAGGCGTACTGGGCTTTGATTTCTATACTTTCATTATTTACTAAGGGGTGGGTATATATATGTCTTTGTGGTTCCTTTTGTTACACGCCGTCATGTCCTAGCGTTGCACTAGGTCGCTTCAATTTGAACAGTGTTCTATTTTACTTGGGGCAGCGCGACTTGATATCCTTGTATATACTAGGTCATAGATGATTTACGACATGGATACTCACATGTTTCATTTGTGCATAAGTAGGTTGCAGAGGCTAAACCTCCTGCTACTAAATAGAAGTTTGTCTATACAGTCTTGGATATCAAGTATAAGGTCAGTATGATCGATTCTTAATTTGTTAAAGAGCCAAGTCTTCCAATTATTGTGAATGAAACAGACAAAGGCGAGATGAGGCGCCGAGGGCGACTATCGACCTTTCCTGTGCAAAATATTTCAGTAACTACAACGCAGCAAGTCTCTAATAAAGACCAGTTTCGCCCTTGGTATCAACAGGCTTGCTAAGGAAAACCCGAGTAATTAACTCAACCGGTGCCATATCCCTCCATTCAAAGCTGTAAAGCTTCGACTGTCTGATCACCAGTTTCCCTTGGTACATACATGCCGCGAAGGTTCTGGCATGTTGCGGAAGGACACATGAGATGAGCAGTACAGGAAATATTTCCTCATCAGGGAACATAGCTTTGCATGGCTGGGGTAAAACCTCTTTATACTCTTCCCCGGTGTCTTCTTGTTCATAAAGTTCTTCCCGTTCTGACTCTGAATCTACCTTTGGTTGGTGTACACGCCCTCGCATAGCAATGACCGACGCACTGAGCTCGGAGTAGAAAATTGGCCTTCGTGAGCTACCGTTCTATCGAGGTGAAGGGCCTTTCCATTGACGGGCTCTGGCTCTAGCACATAACAGACTTCCCATCAACCTCTTCCACCGTAAGGCCATGAGAGGCTCGCTTCCAAGTAGAAGGTACTGTCAGGTGCCCTGATATAGAAGCTCTGTTAGGGAGGCTCAGCTATCCGAGTCAATTGAGAGGGACTTACTCAATGATCTGAAGATGTTGGCGGGACACTGCTTTACGGGTTGCATAGTCGGAGATAAGGTCAGAGATCTGGCGGCAACAGGGCTACCCTGCTAGTAGTATGAATATGGTAGTGCATGCGTTTTGCTAATGGTGAATTTGGTATCTATGCGAGCCAACCAGTACATTATGCATGTTATGGGGTGTGCGGATGGTTGCAGTTTGTTCACTTGGTGGAACACTGTGTATACACCTTCACCTAGTGCGAGCATAGGATTATCTGGTAGAATAGAATCATTTGCGTTTCATTTCAGTTATAGCCAACATTCTTAGCTAGCAGGGTTTCCCTCTTATGACATGTGGAAAATCGAACCAATACTCGAGATAGCAAAACTTAGTATCACTACACGACTTGTCGACTACCTAGATCCATGTTCCACATAACTAGCCATGGAGAGCCTCTCACTAGTACTGAGGTTACTATACTAATGGGGAATGGTGGACTTTCCCCCTGTGCTGTACAGCGGGGAAAGCCTTCCAAGACCACACCGGGTTTCCCCATTTCAAAATGTTGACATAGGGGGAATTGGGAATAAGACTTACACTATATCCCAGTCGTGCTATCTTGGTTGTAGCGCACAACATATACCATGCATTATTGTGGTACATATTCGCTAAGATAACTTTCGGGACCAGGGTTGGTGCGTTGAGCTCAGTAGTACATTTGGCATGCATACGTAGCTACCAGCAGATATACTTCGGTACTAATCATATCGATGAGCAATATACTCATTGGAGTGGTCTGGGCAGGGCTACACTCAACCAACCTTGAGGCCACAAGGAAAATAGACACATACAAACAAAAAAAAAAAAAAAAAAAAAAAAAAAAAAAAAAAAAAAAAAAGGACAAAGAAGCGATAGACATGGATTATTTGAAAAGACCGTGCATCAACCAAGGATCAAACAACAACTCCTTTGCAGTAGCTCTTTCTTCCGGCAACCAGCAAAGCATGCGTCTGAGGAATCGCAAAAAATCCTCCTTTTCGCCGTCTTCAAGTCTTTCTTCCAAAGTCTCGAGATCGTAATCCGAAATTGGAACTGGACCTTTCCATTGGCCTAGAAGCAAAAAAGGGCGTTACTACTTCTAGTGCATTTACACGACGGCTTCGGACATGGGATGGTTGTACAAATTGTTGGCATCCCAGAATTGGGGCGACTTCGCGCTTCGGGCGAGAAACTCTGCAGGAGGCCTTCCTAGAACAGCTTGCATTTCTGCCAAATGCTGTCCATCATCCAGCTTTCCCTCGTCATTTCGGGCCTTGAAAAGGTGACGATGTTCGAAAAGATCCCAAATCTTCGGCTGCTGTCAGCCTTACATCAAAAACCGGTACCAAGCTAACAAGTCCCTTACCACCATCCCGACGTTCCAAATGTCAACCTTGTTGTCCCAGTTCATATTCAGGATGACTTCCGGTGCGCGATAGATATCAGGCATGATATCCACCGTTTGATTGTCTACCCCCAATCGACCCTCGCCCAAGTCACAGAGCACAGGGGTGCCAAAGGAAATAGGGAGTGGTCGTGAGACGTAGATTGTACGATCTGAGAGAGACTTTCGGGGTACAGGACCTTCAACCTCCGCTTCTTCAAAGCGCGATAAGATTGAAGTATCTTTGATACCAAGAAGAACATTATTCGGTTGGATGTCTGCAGTACCAGTCAATCCTGCCCAAGAGCAAGTCTAACCGTGGCAGGTTAATATTTCGCGTGAGAAACTGGGTGACTGACCTGTATGTATGACGTGTGCTTCGGTATGAAGGAAGTCTAGAGCCGCGAGGATATTTCGCATAGTTGTTCTCACCATAGAGCTGCTCATGACCTTACCAGGGAGGAGTGGCATGAGCTGGTCGAGGCTTATGCCCAGCGGCGGATGCACCAGGCATGTATGATTTCTATGCCCATCAGGATTCCGAACCTGAAACGTTTCAATCAACGATCGCAGACATGACTGGCCTGCGTGATCGGACTGTATTGTTTTTAGGTGGTTATAAATCTCACTTTCCTGAGAGACGGATGTTGAGGTGATGAAAACCTTAAGTGCTACATAACAGTGACCCCTATCTCGAGGAGATTTAAGTTCAAAAAATGATGTATCAGTAGGCCTACAGTAAATCACGGCATAACCACACTGTCGCAGTTGATCCATAGCCAAGCTTGCCGACCACCTGATACTGATGGTTGAAAACCTCACCAATACGTACTGGATAGAACTTCTCGGGCTCATAAGTGGGAACATTTTCTTCTTCAACCAGGAAAGAAGGGTCGATGTTCTCCCATCCTGAATTGGGGAAGACTAGGGGTTCTGAGCGAGACCGAAGATCATTTATAGTGCGCACGCATGGCCTTGTATATGATATTCCTGCAATTGATGAATACTGTGGTATGCAAACAGATGAATGGTACTGTTTACATAGCCGGTAGAAGTGTCGCCTTGGCTCCATGGTGGGTTGGTGGTCAAGTTGATTGCTTCCTGAGATTTGTTTTGGCCGAATTCGGATGTCACATGCTTGGCTGGATATATTACCATTTGTCAACCGGATTATGTCTCCTTTGTCAGCCACAATGACTTCTACAGGCATTAGAATAGTACTAGTTGTGGGAAGTGCTCAGATGCAATTTGCCCTTTGGTTGACTCGGCTCCATTCGTTCAATATTCCGTCCGGTGGTAGTAGTATATATACTATCAGTGGCTACTGTCACTAGCATCCTAACTTTTTTTTTTTTTCTTTTTTCTTTGTTAGAAAACCGGACTAGTCGCTCTTATTCTCCGGCCCATTGAAGATATTACAATTGAAAGTCTCAGGTTCAAATTGCAAATGAATTCATCAAGGCAGGAAGCGTTTGTGATTTCTGCTGAAATGATAGATTGTTTTCATAACTAATTACTAGATAGATTTGATGACGTCGGGAGGCCTAGGGGAGTCGGGGACACTAAGGCGACGCTAGTGCGGCGGAGTTCATCCACTGCCAGCATCCGCCGAACGGTCACCGCAGCTTGCTTCTCATCGCATCCTTGCTATCGTTGTCGTTGGTCCACGGGTGGGCCACGTCCAGATGGCGTTGACATCAGTAAGGAAATCCATTCTATGCTGAATGCGATTGGGTTTCAACTAATCTCACTCACGTGGAACTAGTGGAAAGCGTTTAACTTCTTCGACGTCTCCGCAGTGAAGCTGCCGGAGGAGAGCTCCTCGATCTTCAATGTACCCCCTCCCTTGCCCTCTCCGCTACACAAGTCCGTCGCGCTCACACTTACCTTCGGAATGACTCTAGTCTGACATTATCTCCCTTTCCACCGGCTCTGCGAACATCTTCCTCGGCTCCAGCGATGGCTTTGTACATATCATCTCGACGAACTTCAAGCTTGTCCGGTCATTCAGGGCATCGGAGACTGGATCGATCGCGCACATCAAGCAGATAGAAGGAACCTCATTGTTGGTAACAATAGCGGAGGATCTCCCCAGTGAGGCAGCTCTGAAGGTCTGGGCCCTCGACAAGTCCGAAAAGAAGACCGGTGCCCCTCGATGCCTATCGACGACCCATGTCCAGAACGCCCGGCGGATGTTTCCCGTACGTATAATAGCTCGAAATGCGCTACCCTGCTTGTCGGCTTGATACTAAATGACTGCGGGGCAGGTATCTGCTTTCGCGGCGCTCGATGATTTGTCGCAGGTGGCAGTTGGTTTCGCGAACGGATCTGTTACGATTATTCGTGGTGATCTGATCCACGACCGCGGCGCCCGACAGCGGATTGTTTTTGAATCGGAGGAGCCAATAACGGGACTGGAGGTGCAGAGTGGCCCCGTATCGACCTTGTATATTTCGACTACGAATCGCATCCTCGCCCTGGTTATCTCAGGAAGGGGACAGGGACAACCGGCTCGCGTACTCGATGATATGGGATGTGCTGTTGGCTGCCTAAGTTTGGATAGAGACACGGGCGATGTTCTGGTCGCCCGGGAGGATGCGATATATACGTACGGACCACATGGCCGAGGCCCGAGTTACGCCTTTGAGAGTCGTAAAGACTCCGTCACCACTTTTAAGGACTATGTGGCTCTGGTCTGCCCACCTAGAGATACGACCAGCAAGCCTGACACTCTGCGAAACATTGGCGTCGGGCAGGCAGACGACATATTCAAGACAACCACATTCACCCTGCTCGATACTGATTTGAAGTTCATCGCGCACTCCGAGTCCCTCGTCTCTTCCGTGAAGAACATCTTCGTTGAATGGGGAGATTTGTTTCTCCTCACTACGGATGGAAAGGTATGTCCATATTGTTGCGTGTCATAGCTATGGCTCACATGAATCAGCTGTATCGGTATCGTGAGAAAAGCCTTCAGCAGAAGCTCGAAATTCTGTACCAGCGCAACCTATACATCTTAGCGATCAACTTAGCACAGAAGACCGGCGTGGATACACTTCAGCAGAATGCGATCTACCGGAAATACGGTGATTTTCTGTATCAAAGAGGCGACTACGATACGGCAATGCAACAGTACCTTAGAGCGATTGATAACACGGAGCCATCTCAAGTGATTCGGAAGGTTGTATCCTCCGCAGCATAAGCAGAAGAAATTGTCGCTAATGGTTACATAGTACTTGGATACTCAACGGATACATAATCTCATCGAGTACCTTGAAGAGCTTCACGATCATGACCGGGCCACAGTCGATCATACCACCCTGCTCCTCAACTGTTACGCGAAGCTGAAGGACACTGGCAAACTAGATGCGTTTATCAAAGCTCCTGGTGAGCTGAAGTTTGATTTGGAAACGGCAATCGCCATGTGTAGGCAAGGTGGCTACTATGAGCAAGCGGCGTACTTGGCTACGAAGTATGGCGAGAATGATATGGTGGTTGATATCCTGATCGAGGACTCCAAGAAGTATGCGGAAGCTGTCGAGTATATTTGGAGGTTAGACCCGGAATTGGTTCGTGCACTCTCGTTGATTCGACCCTACTTTGATCACTGACAATTCCAGGCCTACCACAATCTCATGAAATATGCCCGAGTATTGCTATCCAACTGCCCTGAGAAAACCACAGAGCTTTTCATCAAGTACTATAAGGGCCAATATACTCCGAAGACCGAGGTCGAAGCGCCGTCCATGGAACCCCAAGCACAGCCGGCCAGTACCTTGCAGAGCTTAGCTGCTTTCCTCCCCTTGTCTTTGATTAACGCTAGCGCGGGCTCAAAGCCGGAAGTAGAAGCACCGCCAGTCGAAGACAAGGCTACCGAGGAGTTGGTGGAGTATCAGATACCCAAACCAAGAACAGCATTCTCGGCGTTCGTGGGCCATCCGGATGAGTTCATCTCCTTCCTGGAAGCTCTCATTCAGCAGGATAACTTGAAAGAGGATGATAAGATAGACCTCTACACGACTCTCTTTGAAATGTACCTGGATACTGCAAGTCGACAGAAAGATGCCGCGCAGAAGGTTGAATGGGAGGACAAAGCAAAGAAGCTTATTGAAGGCAAGGATGTAAGGAGACTCACTTGTTCCTTTCTGCTGAGGTTTGCTAATATCCGCTTAGATACCAATCTCCACGTCGAGTGTGCTGCTGCTTTCTGATCTTTCTGGCTTCCGTGAGGGCTCCACGCTCGTACGGGAGCAAGAAGGCCTCTTGTCAGACATCTTCAGGTCGTTCACCTCCGCGAAGGATACTCAGGGTGCTATCAAAGCGTTGAAGAGATATGGCCCCGAGAAGCCTCAATTATATGTGGATGCACTTACGTACTTCGCCTCGAGCCCGCAGATTCTGGAAGAAGCTGGCGATGAATTGGACGCCGTGCTTAAGAAGATTGACGAGGGAGGGCTTATGACTCCACTACAGGTTATTCAGACTCTGAGCAACAATGCAGTTGTCACAATGGGTCGCTTGAAGAAGTACCTCAGTGACAACATCGAGCGGGAACGAAAGGAGATCTCTACTGTTGGTTGCCTTCGCATTCATTGACTTCCTCAAGCTAACGATCATGTAGAACCGCCGCCTGATATCTAGTTACAGCACCGAAACGGAGAACAAGAGGAAGGAGCTTGAACAACTGGGCAGCAAGCCTGTTGTCTTCCAGGCCCGTCGGTGCATGTCCTGTGGTGGCGCCCTGGACCTTCCTACGGTGCACTTCCTTTGCAAGCATTCATTCCACCAACGGTGTCTGAACCGAGTGGACGAAGACGCTGAATGTCCTGCTTGCGCACCGCAGAACTCCACTATCAAAGCCATTCGGAAGAGACAGGTCGAGTCTGCTGACCAGCACGATCTGTTCAAGGGTGAACTGCAACGCTCCAAGGACCGATTTGGGGTGGTCAGCGAGTTTTTCGGGCGGGGTGTGATGCGACCCCAAAGTACTATGGAATGATGAGGCATGTAATGAACTGGAAGATACCTTTATGTAGATGCACCATGTTGTTTTCAGTTCTTGTTTTTGCCCGCTGTCTGAGAACTTATACCTCAGGCACCAAATGCTTATCAGCACGTGATTTCGCGTCGCTCCGCTCCCCGGATTTGCGGGACGCGAGTGAACCATCAGCCAGACTCATAGCATTAAATGATACCAGATCGCGTGTTCCTCCAATTGAAAACTTTCCAGACGTATAACTAGGCCATACCAATGTCCTCTAGCCGTGTGATTCAGGACTCCGACGATGAAGACGATCCTTTGGCGGGGCCCATCTCCCCCGACCCAGAGTCGATAACACAGATCTTGACATCCGGGTGGGTTCAGGACATCATCAAGCCCATCAGACCGGTCATGACTCGCACATGAATATCAATTTCGATCAATTTCTGCAATCGCAAGAATCCGCGCATTATGGGATCTCATCCTCCCAGCAACGAAGAGAAGCTCGATGGATACCAGCCGATGCGGGGGCGGATCGATTGGTGAGGGATACGCCAAGTCCACGATGATTCAACCACTGACAAACAATCCCACATTCATAGGGTCAATGATGACGGAGATCGGAATTGCACAGCAACGACTATTTGACGATGATGAAGCACACTATACAGAACAATCTGGGTATCAGTACACCGGTGACATGGACACCGCGCAAGCGGAATCGGCAGCTGTTCAGGAACAAATTGCTGCAGAATTGCCCCCGCATGACGATATCGCCTTAGTTCCTAATGAGCATCCTCATGGCTACTCGGAACAACCGCCCCTATATAATGAAACGCAGCCTGATATATCCGACACTCTGCCTTACGGGACGGGACAGCACCCGCTTGACGCAGCAAACCTATATACCCACCAGCCAACCGCGCAGTCCAATGATTATACGAGCTTCAACTACTCGGTTACGACAGGCGCATCCTACAACATGTTCGAATCGTCTCTTCGCCCGTCCGGCAGCTTTGACCCAGAGACTAACATCCCTACCCATCCAACCGGCACCGTCGATCCCGAGATCGCGTACAATTTCCCCCGACGATCTGACTCCGTCCCACCCGTCCCCTTCTCCCCACACGACACAGAACCATTCTCCTCCGTGGTATCCCCCAAAGCCAGCCGATCGAAAAGCGACAATGCAGTGCAGCAATCCCACCAAAGCGTCGATGCGCTCAACGGGCCGGTAACCATCGAGATCCCCGTGGCGGAGAAGAAACAACGAGGCCGCAAGAAGAAACAAACCATCCCCGAGCATGACGAAGACGACGAGCTAGCCCAGATCCATACCCCTACTAAAATCCAAGATGCGACAACCACTATCACCACCGTCCCGACTACCACTAACACTACCAATAATAAACCCGAAAAGCGCAAGCCAGGCAGACCCCCAAAGAACCCCAAACCACCACGCAACGAAGACGACGACCAGCCAGGATTAATTTCAAACGACACCACCGCATTCCCTATACCTCCAGATACCACCACCACCACCACCTCAACCGACCCCCTTACAACAACAGAACACCAAACCACTACAACCACCACCGACCCACCCCCACCAAAGAAACAAGCCAAAGAGCCCAAAAAGAAGAAACTCAAACGCGGCAAAACCACCTCCATAACCCTAACAAAAACATACGAGTCCGACGTCGAAGACGACGTAATCTGGGTAGACGAACGACCAGTTCCTACAACGATCACCCCTCAAACAGAAGCAGAAACACAACAACCCGGCAACATCCCCGAACATGAAGAGACCACTCCCACGACCCATCCTGAGCCCGTACCTGAATTACAGCCAGCTCCAGCACCAGCACCCAAAAAGCGCGGCCGCAAACGAAAGAACCCCGTCGAAGAACAACCACCCGCCCCCGCGCCCGCACCAGCTATAGATCCCCAGCAATCATCAGATAAAGAGAACAATCCAGTACCTGACCCCAACCTAACACTACATGACGACGCAAAACCACAGCAGGAACCAAACCACAAACCACCTCAAGAGAAAGAGGCCGAGAAGGAGAATGAGAACAAGAGCGAGCCCCAACAAGAACAGAATCCAACACCCTCCACGCCCCTAAAACCTAGTGAAGGGCCAACGAAGCACAGTCCCATATCGTCCACGACTAAAGTACCTTACCGGGTTGGGTTGAGTCGGCGAGCGAGAATTGCGCCGTTGTTGAAGATTGTGAGACGGTGATGTGCTATATGAGTGAGCAGCTTGTGGTTTGCGATTGGGGCGGTTTAGTATCATTGCCATCATTGTGTTTATCACAATGATTTCTGTCTTCTGTGGACGGAGGAGTAGTAGCTTATTCGGTTGTCACTGGCGCAATCGTTATCAGGGCATGAGCTATGGACGGCGCGGAGCGCGGTATACCATCTGGCGTTGTGGATTCACCTATTGATTGAAGAATTCAACTTTTATCTCCATGCTCATCGGGTCATGCGATGTGATGCTATAATAGGGACAAGTCTATCGAGCATCATGTGCCATGCCAGTAGCATGAGTCAAATTGTAAGACTAGTCTAATGAAAGTACAGACCAACAATTTTTTCTAAAGCATCTCACTGCGTAAGATGACGCGCTTCCGTGACCGACTATAATATACACAGCTAAGCCGTTGTATGATATAAAGAAGGGTCAGGCTTTCCGCCCACCATATCAGCTTAATCCATCAATACCACGAGGAATAACAATATCACAATTGCCACCGATGAGCTTAGCTGCAAAGTCTTCCCTTCTGACTTCGCCGGCTTCGTGGGTTTACCAGAACCCGCATTGGGAGCACCACTGCCTTTGACGGTACCAGCATTGTCGCCGCAATTACCATTATCAGGTCGACATCCAGAACCGCAAAATGTAGACATGCTGCCACAGAAACCAGTGCCACTGCAGCAAGGGCCGAACCGCGACCCAAGACAGGTGATGTTTCCACCACACATGCCATCAACTGATACAGTTTTGGCATCATCGTTCTTGGATTTAGACTTTCGGGTTTGTCGATCGTCGAAGGCCTCGTCCTTACGATACCAGAGCTCAGGCGGATCACCCAGACACTCGCCAACCGTCACGGCGCGGTAGCCCTCTGCGATAAGCTTCTTCAACATGTACTCGGTGAGATTGTGGACCGTTTGTTCATGGACATCGTGAGCAATGACGAGCCAAGGCCTATCGAAATCCGTTCGATAGGCCAAGTTGCGATCGAAAATGTCCTTGGATTGTTGGATCAGAGCCGGGCTATCATGACTGTAGTCTTCAGTGTCGATGTCGTACAGGATGACATGATATCCAAGCGAGCCAAGATCTTCCAGACAGCCTGACTCCGCGGTACAGCTGGAATACGGTGGGCGCATGTAAGTGGGGATTGTTCCCAAAATGTTTCGTAGGGCAACTTCGTTCCACAGCAGCTGAACCCGGCGCTGATCTTGCGTGACCTTACTAAGGTCTTGGTGTGACCAAGTATGGCTAGCAACCTGGTGGCCACTGCGGTACATGCGTTGAATCAAAGATGCCCAAGGCATCCCGGGACTGTCAATCTCACCCTTGGCATTGTTGTTTCCTGTAACAAAGAATGTCACTTTTGCTTCATACTTGTCAAGGAGGTCGAGAAGGTCCTGAGTGTATTCCTTGGGGCCATCATCAAAGGTCAGGGCAATAGTTCCTGGAGTAGTACAGGACCGAATGAATTTCGGGCCATAGGGTACGTTGCCTACATGAGGCCGAGGAATCTTGTCCGTAGGGGGGCCTCCTGGAGTTGTGTGAGCGTCGCAATTACCGAAGTCTATCTGACAGTCAGGAGAGCTGCAGTGGTTCTTGGTGTCCCCGCAATAACCTGTAGCCATCAGTACGGGTTAACTCGTCTACAAGGAAGTAGGTTGAACACACCAGCAGTTGAGCAGCATTTACCCTCAGGACACTTGCCATGATCAGGGCCACAGCGAGGACTAGAATCACGCTCGACAAGCTTGTGATCAGGAGCATCTCCGTGAGTAAGGGGCAGAAGATGAGTTCCTTGACGGTTAGGCTGCAAACTGAATATGTTGCGCGCAGTCGTGCATGCCACAAGACCAAGCCCAGAAACAACCAAGCGAAGCATGTGCATTTTGAGATAGTATATTGTGGTAAGACGTAATTCAGAGTAAACTGTAGAGTAATGTAGACAGCGAGACTTGTACAGCTGATGAGATATGCTGTGGGAGAAAAGAAGAAGAAAGTTGCAAGGTAGCTGAACTGCTTAGACGACCGGGCCTTTCTGATGTAAATGGAAGTGACGACCCGGCATGCAGGGCAAGGAGCTGCCGACGAATGCGTTGAGACATCGCGACGGAAGGAGCTTAATCATAAGGATCAGTCGAAGAGATAATGCAGTGACAATCAGGCTGAATTAGAACAGGCCATGTTTAGAAAGGAACGCTAACCTATCTCATAAATCATTGACTTGACTGGATGAAAAGCTTCTCGACTACTATTCCCAAGACTAGGAAGTGCTGTGGAACTCCATTGATGGGCACTGGGGGGACGCTGCATTGCATTGCTTTCTTCTTTTCATTAAGGGTATGGTCCTGGCACCTTCTTTTCATTAAGGGTATGGTCATGGCACCCAGAGAACTGGAAGGCTCATCATGTCTATGACGCGAGTCCTAATTACATGGGAAGCCGCCGTTCTGGGAATAAAACTTGAGGCTACCAGCACAAAATCATGTCCCTCACGCAATCGCGCCTACGGAAAGCGATATTGGGATCCGGTTGACTACTATAAAGCCGGGCCGTGAGCAAGGTTATTTGAAGTGAGATAGTATTGATGCCGACTTACTTGTGCTAGGTTATCCTCGCCAACAGCAGCAAAGACATAAGGGGCTAGCGTAGGAAGATGAGGACCAAACTTGGCCGGGGCACTTTTCGCTACACCACCGACGGTGGCAATGAGGTGACGCCGATGGACTGTACTAAGTTGTGGGGAGTTGAATCTTTGGACCAGCCCCTGGACAAAAGCGCTCAGTTGAGCATCGGAGAAGTGGAGCACGAGGGCAGATATGGCCGTCAGAGCCCTTTTGGTGACCACGGTGCCAGCTGTATCGTTGTCAACGATAGACAGGACGGAGTTTTGCAAGGCCGTCAATTCGGGCTCTTTCAGCAGGGGGCCAAAGCAAGTGACAACCTGAATGAGTACATCAATAGCATCACTGCTGAAGCCCTTTGATGGATCCTTCTCTAACATGCCCTTGACGATCGAGCCACGCCGACTAGTAGGGGATGGAGTCGGGCCAGTCAAGCGAGGAATGAGGACGCGAGAGACGGCCGAATATGCCATTGTCGCCTCCTGACTTGGAGGCTGACCCGGCTGCGGCCGAGGTAGAGCTGTCACAATGTATCTCAGAGCAGTATTCGGAACGGATGTGTCAATGGTTTGCGAGGCTGTCAGGTTGGTGAGCTTTTCGAGAAGAGAAGCAAGGCTTTCGAAGGGCAGTCGAAGGACAAGAGGACCAAGACTAGACAATGTACATCTAGTTAGTCCGATTAACTGAATTTCAAGACGGGACTTTGACAAACCATTTCAGGGCTTGGTTCTGGACATCGCCATGTTGGTCATCCAAGGCCTTCAATAAGCCCTCAGCCAGTCTTGATGAGGAGACTTGATCGTGAGCCAGATAGGTGGAATTAGGATTATTTAAAATGCCAAGTAGATCATTTAGCGACATGTATCGCATATCCGGGTCAGGGTCGCTCAGTTTAGAGAGCAGGCTGTTAAGGCTGTGCTGCACCGACTGCCGGTCCGCCATGTTGAAGCCCCGCAGTGAGTTTCGGCGTTAGGGTAGGGGAGGGTGGTTGAGAAGAAAGAGAACCCCTGAAGGTAAAGCGTGGGGAGCTATAAAAAGAGTGTGTCTCCAATAGTCGGGATAAGATGTCGCGCAACCAAATCAGGGATGAAGTTGGGACTGGGGAACCACCGAAGCAACAAGTGGGATGATGAATGGGGAGGAGATAGAGTTAAAGTGGTGTTTGTTATCGGAGCTGCCTGTGCAGCCTCAGGCACGAACAAGCTCCTACGGCGGGCTCTTCAGACTATTAGTGCATGTTTCATGCTTGGCAGATTCAGAACCACGCAGTGACCTCAAGAATAAGCACTGACAGGGCCAATTGAGAAGAAGATAGAAGCCTTCAACCAGGCCATTTTTTTTTCCTGCTTACCATGCTAAGGAAGATAAGTGGCTATAACCTTCAGATGTTGAGCATGCGGTCCATGCGAGACGGAACTACAAGAGCCAGTTCTTCCCCGCACGGTGCCATTACATCATCCGCCGTAATTACAGGTCGTAGTACATGGGGAGTACTTTGCTCCTCTATAGTGAGCAACGCTAATAACCAGGTAAACCAGTGAGTAATTAACCGGTAAAATGACCGTGACAGCAAGGAAGGAGAGCCACTCCGGCAGCTCCCGCTCCGAAGAAGTAGTGGTGACCAGGAATGGAATTGCAACGTAACGAAGGCCAGTCCGGGACTGCCTTCAATTAGGTCATACCATCCCCGTCCAGCCTCCTGCTTTCCCCTCATACTTTCTCTTCCTTCTTCTTCTTCTTCTCCTTCCGCTGCCTTCTTCTTCTTCCCGTCAATTGCATCCCGTTGCTACTGTGTCTCTCGAGCCATATCGTCTTCTAAAATTCTCATCTAGCCATAACTCAACGCACAATGGTTCTCGCACGCCCTCATATCCTCCGCACATCTGCTAGGGCCGTCGGTGCCGGCATCGGCGTCGCAGCTCGTCGTTCCCCGACACAGCAATTCGCTCGCAGGGGTTACGCCCAATCGCATGACGCTCCCAAGTCCTCCGATCTACCATGGTAGTTATCTTCTCTCTGAAGTCATGTCTCACTGGTTCAGGACACAGGACTAAAGACGCAACTCAACTAGGCTCATCGCATCTCTGGGTCTTGGTGTCCCAACAGCATTTTACCTGCTTCAGTCCGGACCCAAGAAGACCCCTCATCACGGCCACGAGGCTCACGGCGCTGACCACGTCGAGAAGGAGGAGAAGGCCCCTGCGGGTGAAGCTACTCCTCAGCCTGATCGCGATGCAGAGCAGAAGACAGATACGTCTTCCTCTGCGGAGGGTACGCCGTCAACGGACGGAAAGCCTCCCTCAGAGGTAGACCAGGTGAGCCATTGATTTCCCGACAGCAGCGATCATTTCACTCCTTTGCCTTGAAAGGATGCTCGACTGACTTACTTCCCAAATGTAGCCCTCCAGTCGCAAGGACACTGGTAACTCGGCTACCATCTCTGGCAAACAGGAGGGTCTCTCCAACACTAACACGGACAACCCGTACGTGAACGAGCCTGGAAAGAGCGCCAAGGGCGAGGGTGAAACCGAAACCGCCAAGGTGAAGGGAACCGTTTCCCCCGAGCGCCCCCAGGCATAATTGAGAGTGACCGTGGGCCATACATGTGAAAAGTCCACTTATGTCTTTGACGAAGGCTACTGTATTTTATCGTCCATGTGGCATGATCGCGAGCTAGATGACCGAAGAGTTGCCAATGTAACTTCTGCGTCTACTACTTTGTAGCGGTATGTCCCTTCTTCTCCAAGTATGTGCGGCCTAGGCTGGCAGGAAGGACTCTGCTCAGGCGTAATAGCTCTGCCGCAGGAGTTACACCAGTGACACAAGATATGCGTCTGGATGATATGGAGTATAAATATTCTATTTTCTATTCACAAGTAGGGACAAATTACTATCGAGTTTCGTACTGAAACTCTTCCTTGCATGATTCCTGCACCCAGGCGCTTGTTGAGGCACTTTCCATAGTGTGATTTTGGATTTCCCATTTACTACCACTGCTAGTACTACTAGTATATAAATATAGTATGCGTCACTAGTAGTGTTACAAGGAGATGGGGGAATTGGCTGCCCATTAAGGGTGTACACGCTTTGGCTACCTGCATGGGAAACACTATGGACTGACGCTAGTACTCAAATGATGGCCAGGTTTGAAATTGAAGCAGCGTGGAAATCCCAGGGGCGTGTTGGCATACTACCAGCACTACGGAGTAGTACTACTAGTAGTTTGGTTCCTTGAGTGAGAGGCGATTCGTTTATTTACGAAAGAATTACGCTTATTTGCGGGCCCTAAAAGCCAGTAATCGACGGGGAACTAAGAATAGTAGTGCTCCGCAGCGTGCAGGATTGCCAATGGATTATACGACGATAATATATCATGATCATAGTCGTTATTTACTACTGCTACTACTACTACTCCATACTAGGACTCGCAATCCGACTATCCGCCGATAACAACAAATAGGTTCTAATTCGTTGATCGGATCACTCACCCCAACTTCAAACTCTGGGGATTATGATCGCAACGAACACGAGCCAGTGGTTATCAATTCAATTTGCCCGAAACACCAAGCTCGTGCCTTGCAGGGTCTGGCGTTGGAAACACGACGACTCGGGCAGAATAGACCGTGACAGATGAGACCGGTCCACTGCGTACTTACTAGGGAGCCTGTGCTCCTTGCGTCGCGAAAATTAATATCGAATGAATCCCTGAAGGGATCGACGGCGGGCGACAATTGGGTACTTTTTCCCCCCCCCTACTATCCACAATGCTCAGACTCTCTTAAGACTAGGCTCTATCTAATCCTAAAGAAGATGGAGTCGGTCACAGCCAGAAGTACTGCAATTGGCTGGCGAGGGGATCCAGTGCCAACTCAGACTGCAATTGTCCACTTCAGGTTAAGGGATTGATCGTGTTTGCAATTTTAGCTGTGCTTTGCGGGTCTGGTTGGGCTGGCTATTGCGATGGCCCATAATATATTCGTTATTATTAACTATTGTTGTTGTTGTTGTTGTTGTTGTTGTGATTATTTTGATGTGTTGCTCCGACGCAAGGTGTTATGATTGTAATTTTCTTTTTTCTTCCTTCAAGGTGCAGCAGCAGATGTTTCAGGAGAGGCACGATCTCGGTGGAAACACGGGGGGATCAACCATGAGTCCGGGTCCCTCTCTCTGGAACCAAGGAACCGTGGGGAAGGGTACGGCGGACAACAAGGAAACAATGGAACTAGAGTTGGGCAGTTATAGAAAACAGAAAAAAACTTGTCAACAAAAAGAATAGCTAACACCACTAACTAATTCCAGCGTAGATTGATTTGACTGGGGAGGGTTGCCCCGAGCACCCGCCCAGCCCGACTTGATCGATGGACACTAAAACCCAGTAAACCAACTAAATAATCCAACTAAACCCGTGCCGCTGAATCTCCACTCGCCCAAGAATAACAATTTATCGACTTGTAGATTCCCTCTTTCTTCCTCCTCTCCCCTCCTCCCCCAATCTTACTTACATATTCCCTCCCATTCATTGTTCCTCTGTAACTAAGCTACTCCTCGTTCCTTGCTTATACTCTCTCCACATACACCCTCCCCCCCAAAATAATTGCGCATCGCCTTCTGCAACAAACCCACCGCAGTCCACCCCCGATGCCATTCCACCATCCTTCAGCTCCATGGTCCGCCTGCATCTGCTAATTTCCGCTGTGCTTGCATCCCGCTTGGCGTCCTGTGAATCGCGACGCGCGCCGACCTGAGCTTCAGCCTCTGCGACCACCACCCTCCCTCTCTCTCCCCCCCCCCCCTCCCTCCGATCCAGAAAATGAGCGACAATCCACCATGGCTGGACCAACTCTCCGACGATTGGGTGCCCGTCCCTGTGCCTGGAACCCCAACCAGCCCGGTCCCCTCTCGGTCCATCTCTCATTCCCGCCAGTCCAGCTTACAAAACTCTCCTAGTCGCATTCCGGTTCCCGCGCGTCGCTCTGTCGCCCCGTCGCCATCGCCTATTGATAAAAAGAAGGTTTCTCGGCCCTGTCATTTCGTGAAAAGGGAACCGCCCACGCCGAAAACCCCTCGTACCCCCAAGACTCCGTCCAAGTTGCGATCTCCGGTCCCCGATAAGACGAAAAAGAGCCCCCGACCAAACCCACCGTCCAGGAACCTGTCGTCCAGGCGTAAACAATCGTCCACCATGGACACGAGATCGCCGTTGCGATCGGTCTCGAACGCCTCCGGTCAGTCGATCCAGCAAAGCACTGTTCAAATCAAACCAAAGAAGGCCAAGGGCGGCGAAGGGACCCCCGAATGGCGGAGGAGACTGGTCCATGGAGATATCCCTTCCGGTGAACAGCGCGATCTTTTCGCCCCAATTGGACTCGAGAGTGTGTTCAAGCCGCCCACCCCTGGAACTGAGAAAACGCAAGACGAGGCCATTTCCCGAATGAAACACTCGGATAGCGTCTGGGACTTCTCCACGTCCTCGGACCGACGCGACAATGCTACTTCAAACGGACCTCCTGGTGTTGGTCAACATGAGTTTGGTGAGGGTGCCGGCCATTCCTCTCCGAAAAGCCCACGATCCCCGACCAAGTCGTCGCGTCAAGATCAAGGAGAACCCCGGTCGACTCCAGGAAGCCCCCGAGGATCGCACAATGGGAGGCTGGATGTGAAGAAAGGGCCTACGAAATTTGTGTTGAACCAAGGCGATGGTCATGAGGATTCTTGGAATGGCACGCAAATGAGATCGGCTAGTGGATTGGAAGATATGCGAAATGAAGATTTCACGCCCATCACCTTCTCACAGCCGAACACAATGGACGGAAACGCTGCATCAGAAGTAATTAGGTCCGCGTTGAAGAAAGTGACGAATAAGCTCGAAAGACTACAATTGCCGCCATATGAACGACCCGACTCTCCGGCAAGTGATAGCTTCCTGCTAAATCAACTGTCGG